ATGTTTTTCATTTTAAAAATATATTTTTGTAATCACTGTATGTAAGTATTATGCTTGATGTCAAGTTCTTGTCCTCTCTGTACTCTTGGCAATGTAGTTTGATGCACATATGTTCTGTATTACCACATTCTGGATAAAGGGGAATGTTTACAGCAGTACATCATGTTATTTGATACCTTTTCTTTAGTGTTTTTTGCATTTCAATTTCCTAATTATGGTCCCGTTACGGTACATCAACGGTTAAAACATCCGACGGGATAATACCGTAACGGGACCGTAGCATTTCCCTTTCTTTGGTCCATGTTGTTTACTCATTTGTTTAAAGGTTTTTTTTTTTTTTAACTTCTTTTGTGTTCTCTTTGTGCCTAAGAGGGTTCTTAGGAACTGATTTTTATGTGATTGATTAGTCAAAAATTGTTAAACCCGAACATTGAACCTTGATAAGGTAATCTGTAAACCATAACTGTTCTTTTTGAGTTTACAATAGTTCACTTTTTAATCATATAGAACTTAGTTTCTTTACCTACCACCATATGATTAAGGCCCCCCATCGAGACTGTAAAGTATGGTGGTTCCCAGTTGGGCTTATGATTTAAGTAATATTTCTTAATTGAAGTATTAGAATAACTTCAAAGGCTTATAGTTATATGATGATTACCTTATTTTTTTTCCAGTTACTTTATTCTCCTTTTGTGGTCCCTTATTTAGCTCATCCATGTAATTTAAGTTTAACTGTGATTTCTTTTTTGCATTACAGTGGACTAAGGTCAGTTTAACTTGCCAAAAGTTTGTATAATGTGTTTCGATAATAACAACAACAAAATGAAAAGAAAAGATTTTTAAACATTCTTCTTCTTCTTCTTCATGTTTTGAATAGCATTCGTAAACAGATACTCTTGAGTTTGATCTAATTTTAGTTTGTCGACTGATTGACGTGCAGATACGTATCATCTGAATTGCCTACTGATGTTGTTATAAATGTCGACGACATGAAGTTTCATCTCCATAAGGTGACATCAATTTTTTTACAATAAAGATTTTTTTTTTTAAAGTTTCATTTTACTATCAGCTTAAATTCTTGTCTAAATTGATCATATGCTCTTTATGGATCTCCTGCTACAGTTTCCTCTCCTGTCCAAAAGCAGCAAGTTACAAAAACTCGTCTCGAAAGCCAACGAAGAAAATGCTGCCGAAATCCAGCTTCCAGATTTCCCAGGCGGGCCCACGGCATTCGAGATCTGTGCGAAATTCTGTTACGGTATAACAGTTACTCTCAACCCCTACAATCTGGTGTCGGCACGTTGTGCCGCCGAGTATCTCGAGATGACTGAGGACATGGAGAGGGGAAATCTAATCCGGAAAATAGAAATATTTCTCAATTCGAGCATTTTGCGCAACTGGAAAGATTCCATCATCGTCCTTCAAACCACAAAAGTACTCATGCCGTTGTCTGAGAATCTAAAAGTCGTGAGCCGATGTGTGGAATCTATTGCATGCAAAACCTCGATCGACCCCTCGTTAATCACTTGGTCTTACACGTACAACAGGAAGTTAGCAACATCCGATCAAATAATTCAAACCGGCGGTATAAAGTTATCAGAAAAAACAGAATTTGTTTCAAAGGATTGGTGGGTTGAGGACATATGTGAGCTGGACATTGACCTGTACAAAAGGGTTATGGTTGCCATAAAATCCAAATGCCGAGTGCCTGGTGGCTTAATTTGCGAGGCATTAAAAACGTATGCCGTTCGGTGGCTGCCGGATTCTGTTGATTTATTGTTATCTGAAGATCACATACAGATAAATAAATCGTTGGTCGAGACCATTATCTGCCTGCTGCCTTCTGATAAAGGTATCATCAGCTGTGCGTGCAGTTTTTTGCTGAAACTGCTTAAAGTTGCGATCTTGATCGGGGCCGATGATTCGTACAGGGATGATTTGATTAAGATTATTGGTATGAAATTGGACGAGGCTTGCGTTAGTGATCTTCTCATCCCGGGAAGTTCCCAGAATACGATTTACGATGTTGACCTTGTACAGAGGCTTGTGGACGAGTTTGTAAAAAACGAAAAGGGTAAAAGGGATTCAAAAATTGCCGAGGAAAAAAACGAGTGTGATTTTGTGTTGGAGCACGGATCGTGGCTGAGAGCTGGGAAAGTGGTTGACGGTTATCTTTCCGCAGTTGCATCTGATCCGAATCTAACGGTCACGAGTTTTGTTAAGTTAGCAGAGTCAGTTCCCGTGTCTGCTAGGCCTATTCACGATGGATTGTATGGTGCCATCGATATTTATTTGAAGGTATGCTTTTTTTTTTGCAAGACATGAATTAATAATAATAATAATAATAATGAACAATTTTGAAACATTACGCATATATTATTCTCTCTCTCTCTCAGGGGCACACAAATTTACCGAAAGCCGAACGGAAAACATTGTGTGGTTTGATGGACGTCAAGAAACTAACGTCTGAAGCATGCATGCACGCAGCTCAAAACGAACAACTACCACTCCGCGTAGTAGTCCAGGTACTATTTTTCGAGCAGGCAAAGGCTTCAGCTAACAACACTAGTTCCCCTAAACACAGTCGCGAAAATTGGGCCAAAACAGGCCCTCCAGATATGCGCAAGTCCCTCAGAAGGCAACTGGACGACATGAAGATAAAAGAAGACGAACAATCGCTTGAAAATGGAAAACATGCAAAGAGAGGCAGCAAGAGCAGGGGCTCCGAGCCCCAGCTACTGCCATCTCGTTCGAGGAGAATATTCGAAAAGCTGTGGATAGTGGGGAAAGGGTTTGGGAATGGTGAGAACAAGAGTTCAGAGACTTTTGCTAGTTCACAGAGCCCAACATCAATGGTCCAACAAGGGCAGGTAAAGTCTTCCGGATCGTGTTCGAGGCACAGAAGGCATTCGATCTCGTAGGGCGAGAGGCAAAACAAAATGGAGGGGTTATAATTCAACTGTAAATTGGTACTTAGTAGGATTTGATCAATTGCAGTAGATTTAAGTGGTTATGGAAGTCTGTCCTAACAAAACATAGTGTCAAGTTTTAATTTATGGATCTTTTATGATGTTTTCTTGTGTTGGTTGTCAGGTTATTGATTTATTGATATACTTCTTAATGTATCAGATATTTTTTATTAAGTCAACTAAGTTTGTTAAGTGAAAATATCAATTTTATTTTTGTACTAAGTAAATCTTATTTTGTGATAATATTTACTTTTGTCACTAACGCACACTTTTAATGAAAATATTTTGTGTGACGAAGAATAATTTGTCTATTTTTTTATGTAATAATGACAATTTTTACTTTCATTGTTTTAAAATTTTTATGTATGATATTATAATTTTTTGTCACTAAATTACATATTTTATGATAAATATTTTCTGCAATGTGTGATACTCTGTCATAATTTCATAGTTGTCTATGACAAAATTTATTGTTGCTAAAAATTACTTTTTTTAGCCCATGCCCATGCCGAGGCACCGAGCGCCACTGTTGCAACCGAAGGTCGCGGAGGAACCGACGATTTGCTGCTCAATCAAGACATCGTACGACCTGTTACTGTTAGTGCTGGGTTGAATCCAGATAAACATCGGGCGCTCGTCATTACAGATGATAAGATCCTGGAAAAGTCTCCTGTCCGTTCCGCCATCACCAAGCCTGTGGACACCACTGCAGATGCCCTCATGGAAGAGAATGAGCACAATGTTCGCCGACAAGAACCATGGCCGGAGGACCCACAATATAGCGCGACCCCATCAGACAGTTCGACTGAGCGCATGTGCATGGATGTCGG